CCTGGGAGTCGGCCAGGCTCAAGTCCGCGAGGAATTCCTCACGGCAAGTTCTGGGAATTTACGTCTTTGTTCTTTCTGTGGTTTCTTTTTTTTCTTTCCCCCCACTTTTTTTCATCTCTGGGTGGCCAGGGCTGGGCTCTCTCCCCTAATGTTAGAAAGCCAATTCTAGCACCAGGCAGAGCTGGGAGTAATAATCCCATTTACTGACAAGGAACTACTGGTCTGGAGACACCACTCTTTACTGGATGCATCTGGGTCTCTGGTGGTGTTTGGGTGGGAGGACAGACCCCATTCTCACACTTCCCATTTTTTAGTTCTGTACAACAGCAATCAGACCTGCCTTGCGCTGGTATCAGCACGAGGATTTGAAGGTGACTAAAAGAAATACAGGTGGTGCCTGAAATGGATAGTTGCAGTTGACACAGCACATGTGTCTTACAAGCTTCCAATTCACTGGCAGTGATGAAGATAAAATTAACACATTGCTTTGGGTTTTTTGGAACCATCTGTAGTCTGAAAGGTCACTGCACCGTGATCTGCCAGGGACTGAAGACAGTGACAGGACAAGAGGCAATGGGCACAAACCAAGACACATGAAATCCCACCCCAACACAAGAAAATGCTTTTTTACTGTGCTCAAATGCTGGTACAGGTTGCCCAGAGAGGTGTTGAAGTCTCCATCAGTGGAGTTACTGAAAACCCAGCGGGCCGTGGCCCTGGGCAACCTGCTCCAGCTGACCTGCTTGAGCAGGGCGTTGGGCCGGATGATCTGGAGAGGTCCCTTCCCACCTCAATGATTCTGTGACACCGCCCAGATTGGGAAGGGGATCACGCACAGACTCTAAGGGGGTCTGGAGAGCATCTCTAGAACAACAGGAATGGCAAGAGAGGCACCACCACAGGAGAAAAATGCCCAGATCAGAAGGCAATTTTACACTCTGGGCCACGTAAGCAAGCGATCCATCTGAGCCCCGAGCTGGGGAGCATAAATTCAGCAATGCCAAATGCCAGCCTGCCCTATGCACCGCCTTACCAGGGTACCAGGTAGCCAAGGGCACCCACCCAGCTCCTCGCCCTGGGTAGCCCTGGTCTGTCTGAGCAGAAATCTATCTGCACCAGCTTTGGTTGGACTCTCTGACCTCACCTTTTGCCACCTTCATTCTGCGGGGAGATCCTGGAGGCTGCCGCGTGCTCCTGCTGCTGCAGATACGCCTCGCTGGGGGTGCGGCGCAGGTCCAGCACGGGGCACGCGGCCCCGGGGAAGGAGTACACCGGCGTCTGGATGTGGGAGTTGAGCTGCTGCGGGTGATGGCGTGTGTAGTCCTGCGTGATGACCTCCTAGAAGAAGAAGAAGAAGCCCCCGAGTCAGAAATAGAGTTGTTTTCTACCTCTTGTTTTGATGGGCTCAACGAAGACAGGGCAAGCAGGAGGGAATTAGGCTGGTTTGTCCCTGTGGGGATGTAACGTCTGCCTCCTGCCTGCAGCAGCTCTCGTGATGGGCTTGCTGGGGCTGCAAACACCCAGGCTGAAGAAGCCTGATGCACCCTGCTCTCTCCAGCCCCCAGCCAGGGGTGCTGAGGTGTCTAGCATCGCTCCCAGCCCTTCCCCACCAGACATGTTTCATATCAGCTCTTCCCTCCTCCCCAAAGCCCCAGTGCGAAGGCGAGAATGAGCTTAATTACGCTGATGTGCTGGGCCAGCGTGACCACCCGCTGGTTCATGCCCTTGATGCTCTGGCTGGACTGCAGGGGCTGGCACTGGGGCTGGGGGCCGTCGGGCTGCCGGAGGTGCTGCAGGTGGGCTGCTTCGGGAGCCGAGGCCTTCAGCGAGCCTGGGGGAGGCACGAAGAAGAGAGCAGGTGTGAGATGATGTCTGTGTCCCCTTCCTCGAATGCCATCCTGGCACAGCACTGGGGCACAGCGAGCAAGAGCTGGGTGACGAAGCCTCCCCATGCCAGCTCGGGCTCTCCTGTGCCAGCTGGCACTGCCAGCCCCTGCCCTCACCTTGCTGTTTCTGCCTCAGGTCATGCTCCCCGTGCCCTTTCTCTGTATCCTGAAGCAGCTTGGCCCCTTTCTCATGGGACAGGCTGGGCGAGCTCACAGGACTCACTGCTTCCATCCGCTCAGGGCTGTAGCCTCCGTGAAAGCCTGAGGAAATGGGAGAAGGGAGTTAAAACCAGGAGCTTGCTTGGCTTTTCCCTAGTGCTGCGGCAACCATTGCTTGCGGGTAGAGTCACGCGTTCAGCAAAAGGGGGAAAAAAGAGATGAGGGAAGACCTGGCAGGTCATATGGCAGGGACCCCCGGAGCCACCTCTGATGTCCAGCTGTGATGGCTGCAGTAAAGAGGTGATGTCTCATTTCTGCAGAGCTGGACACTCAGCAGCTCACGGTGCCAGCACGAGAGTCAGGAAGCAAATTCAACCACTGTAGGTTCACAACTTGTTCCCCCACCTTTCCCCCACCTACTGAAACAGAAAAATAAAACCCCTACTATGCCAGGAGAGAAAGCAACGCTCTGCAGGAGTGGAGGTGGCTGCAGGGGACATCTCAAATGCTTTACAAAGAAAAGCCTCAAGCCCAGCACGGCCAAGAGCAGGGACTTGAAAATAGGGCCTGCAGACTCCAGATCCTGCTCCAGAGACAGCAGACGTGCACACCACAGGGGCAAAAAGGCTTCTTGACCGTTCTCTGCCTTTTAAGCCCTTTGCATGGACTCAGGCTGCATCAAAGCAAGCAGAGCTGGAATGAGGGACCACCATTCCTTCAACAGAGAGGGTAAACTGAGGCATGGACGGGTTATGTTTCCACAGACCAGAGGTGGAGGAGAGAGGATTCCTGGAGGAGGCACATGCTGCCTCTCGCCAGCTAAGCACGTTTGGTAACGCTCACGACTTTTGCCTCCACAGACCTTTACCCTCCTAATGCTCGATTCCTAGAAACCGCCCACTGCAGGCAAATCTGGCAGGCGACCCACAGCGCTGCTGGGGAGGGTCCCCGGTGCCCAGGCACGGACATGCTGACTGTGCGCGTACCCGGGGCATGGGTAGGGGAGGACCCCCGTGGAGAACCTCCCTGTGCCAGGGATGGGGATGCAGCATCCCCCATCACCCCATGCATGCCAGCACCGAAGGGACCACGCTTCAGATCCACCCAAGATGAAGTGTCCTGGTCTGGAAAGATCCCTAACCAACAGTAAGTCCTGGGGAACACCAGCTCCTTTCTGTAAGCTCATGGCCATAGAAAAGTTGCCCCTGTCCTCCGCAGCATGACAACACTCAGCCGGAGGAAACACTGGTGCCAGGGAAAAAGGCAGAGGAAAAGCTCAGCCAGGCAGCGTACCGCAGCCAGAGGCACATCCTTGGCCCTGGAGCACGCTGCTGGAAGGGGCTGGGACCACACACGACCAAGTGGTGGGACGAGTGGGTTGGGATGTAGTGGCGAGAGCAGCTCTCCTCCCCTGGCCATGCTGCTGTGTCCCTTCCACCCTTGGGTTACAGGAAGGGGGGCTGTGTAGCAACCCCCAGTGCTGACGGCCAAGGCAGATGCTTCAACTTGAAGAAGGGGTCCCATCAAATCCCCGCAGGCTGCCTGCTGCTTCCCTATGCTGGTGGGGGAGCCTGGATGAATGCTCTGGGTGAAGGCTGGTCCCATCAACAATGACCTAGACCGTGAATCCAGCCCCCTCCCTGCAATTCCTTCTGGAGAAACTTATCCCAGCGCTTTTGTGTTCTACATGAGATTGCTGTTACGTGGTTCCTGTGGTCTGCTCAGGAAATGGCTGCCGAGCATGGCTGGGCTGGGCTGAGCAATCCCTGGACAGCCCTGCCCGTGTTGATCTTCTGTGCAGCATCCAGCACCAGGACCCTGAGTGAGGTCACCCCAAGCGAGGGGACCCCATTTGAGCTGCGTCACGCAGCAGCCCGCAAAGCCCTCTGAGATCCTGCGTGCTCAACAGCACAACCGTGAGTGGGGAGGCGCGCGTCTGATGGGCAGCAACCCTGTCCTGCTCCCAGTTCTCTGCTTCGCTCGTTTGATTTATTACCCATAACTGTTCCTTACAGACTGCCTAGGAATTTCTAATGATGGGGAAATCAGAATTAGCAAATTGCTATTGTCTGTAAAAAGCAATACCAGGAACCGAACAACGTTTGCAAAACAGGACTTGGCAACGGGAAAAAATAAAAGAGGGGGGGAGAAGGGAAGATCCCTAAAACACACACAAATAAAAAAGTCTGGAGTAACACAACAACCAGGAAGCCGAGGGACAAGCACACTGGGGGAGCTGACGGAGCCAATAGCCAAAACGTGCAACTAAAAATAAGAAATAATGAAATAAAATGGGTTTCAGGCCACAGCTCTCTCGCCTCTCCCCTCCAATTTCTTACCATCGCTAGCGGAGTCGTTACTTAGCGAGCCTCTTTCTCGCTGCCCCTTATCGCAAGACATTTGGCGCATGATAATCACATCTATGAAGTTGGCCGCTGTCGTGGTGGTCTTACCGAGTGCTCGGAGCTCCTGCTCCTGCATTGAAAAGGGTTTACTTTGACTCTTTTCTCTACTGTGCTGCTCGGGGCCCGAGGCTGCGTGCTGCTGGTCCAGAGGGTGATGGTGCTGCTGGCTTTTCCCCTGTCCTCTGCTATAGTGATGAGAAGAACCAGGTCCGGAGGCGGGTAAAGGTCTCGACTCCATGGCTTTAATGGGTGAAGGCGACTGTTCGAGGTTGGCCCCACTGGGCAGCTTTGAGGTGAAGACGTTGTTGTCAGTCTGCGGTCGTTCTGCCTTGGCTTCCCGCACCCGAGAGGCCTCTTTCTGCAGGACAGCCGGGTCCATCAGGGCCGTGTAGCCATCTGCCGCACTGATGGAGGAGCGCAGGGTGGAGGCCGAGGGGAAAGCGGCGGAGCGGATCGGCGACGTGGTAGTAGTGGAGGAGGATCTGGAAGACAACGGAAGACAAGACGAAGATGAGACAAGCACGTGGAGAAAGGGGAGCGCTGTTACCGGAGCCCTGGTGTTCAGCCCTGCCTGGCTGAGCTCTCCTGAGCGTAGGGTTGGCTTGTGATGGAGCAAGTGAGGAGGGCTCAGATGGAGCCTCCACCAAGGTCATGGGGTATTGGCTGTGGCCTGGATGCATCCACTGGGGAGAATAAAATCTATGGGACAGGTCCTAGAGACCTTCATAACTCTACCACCAGGCAACCCTCAGCAAGAGGAGTGATACCCTCTTGCCTATGTGATTTGAGCACAGACAGCCCTGGGATGCTCCTGCTTTCTCTCCTGGTAGCAGTAAAAACCACGAGGAAAAGCAAAGGAACTGGGCACCAGAATCCACCTCTCCCCATCACAACCTCCCTGTAAGCTCCAATCCTGCTCCCGCTGAGACTGAAGGCCAAACCAACCCTCGCTCCATCTCAGAGGTGCCCCATGCGATGCTCGCTAATTAACCACCATGGCTGCCCCAGTGCAGGGGTCCAGGCAAGCAGCAGGAACTGTGGCGGGGAGACATACCGCAGGACGGAAGGGGTGGGGGTCTCCGAGGAGATGATCTTCATGCTCGTGTTGTGGAGCACGCTGGGGCGCTGCTGGATGGTCTCGTGGGTGCGGGGTGAGACGGGAGAGTGCTGGTGGCTGTGAGAGTGTGAGGACGAACGGCTGCTGGACTGCTCTGTACCTGGGGGAAAATACAAAGGAGGGCTTCTTTAGCTCTTCGTTTTATAGTCCCAACCCTACCTCCATCCAACACGGGCCCCAGGATGTGGTGCCGGGCTCCTCCCCAGCCTACCTGGTCTCCAGATGGGCGCATGCTCCACTGTGGTGGACGCCAGGATGGATTTTTCTCGCTCCCTTTCCCGTTCCCGTTCCCGCTCCCGCTCCCGTTCCCGCTCGGACACTGACGATCCCGACTGTTTGGTCATGTGCGTGGGGCCTCCTGAAACCCAACCAAAAGGCAGTGAAAGGGCTGCACATGCAGTGATTCCCGCCCCGGGGAACACCGCCTGCTCTTCACATTGCTGTGTCTGCAGAGCAGATAAGGAACGGCTCCTTCCAAGGTCACCTGGAGCAGGACAGATGGGGGCAACCGGTGTGACAAAACCCGGGCAAATCCTGCAATAACTGTCCTGGTGCCATCTCTGGGGTACAGCCTTCCCCAAAGCTGTTTGCCAGCTGCCACTTTGGGAAAGAAGGGGGAAAAGCAAGGAAGCCCCCAACAAGCAGGATCAGAGGAGCTGGTTTGAGGGAGCCAGCGGGCTGCTCCCTGCGTGAAAATGAATTTGGGCTCCCCCATCTGCCCCGGCATGCTGAGCTCACGGCTCTGAACTGGTTAAGGGCGCCCTGCCTGACTGCTTTCCCATGGGAAAAGCAACCTACAGCGTTACCTGGGGAGAGCGGGGAGCTGCTGTGCCGGCTGCCGAAGGTCTGGGGGGGTCCAGGGATGTAGGTGATGCGGTCCATGGTGGTGGCGGAGGTGCCGGGGGTAGGGGGCACGAGGACGGGCAGGTGTGGCACTTGGGACAGGTCGATGATGCCTGAGAGAAACGAGAGGACTGTCAGGATGACGCTGAGCTGCTGCAACTTGGCCGCGCTGGAGTGGGGAGGGATGCCGGGGAGGGTCGACTCGTCCCGCTGTTCTGGTGCAGTGCAGGGGTGCCAGCGAGCCCACAGCTCCCAGGCGCCGGTTCTCAGGGGAGGGGACCCTGCTGTGGGCAAATACAGCGTGTCCTGCTGCTGGGAATAATGGGAGGAAAAATGCTGAGATCTATCCCAGCTGAGCGAGGGGGATGCAGGAGGCATCAGCCACAGCTCCCCCCAGCCGGAGACCAACGCTGCTCTGCCTGCGGAGCCCCACACCGCACCCTACACACTCCCCAGCACGCTCTGCTTTTTGCAGAAAGCCAGATACTCTTCTGGGAGTGTATTTTAATCTCCAAGGGCCAGAAGGGTCAGGCTGGGAAGTGCTCCTGTGACCCAAAACCAGAGCTGCACGTAAGGAGCTTCAAGTAACTAAAGATGGCAAAAAGAGCACCGAATTCCCCCCGGCTGTCCTCCATGCTGACCGGCTGAGTTCCTACACTGCTGGGTGACTGTGCTGCTGGCTCGGCCCTTGACCCCCGCGCTGGAGCCGGTGGTGCTGGCCTGAC